CAAGACTCCCAAGGTCATTGACGGGACGGAACCCCCTCACTTGTTGGGCTCCATCAGTAGCAGAATTATCTCAGAGAACGCATTGTGTCATACTGCACACTCAACGTTTCAACAAAAGTACGTGGTCATGTTGAATGCCACGGCCTCCCGATGCGAACCTCGCTGCTGCCACTCGGTCTCTGTGCAATAAACCCCAAAGCGTTTGCATGCTCAAGAGAACTCCAATATGCAGGCCGTTTTCGTTCGTGCGGTACTTGTGCGGCTTCAGAACAGCCCAGAGAAAAACACACTTGCAGTGGTATATTCCAGGATGCCATTCCCATACTGGGTTGAAGGTTTACACAGGCCTTAAAGCTCTCAGCCGGACCGCACCAGCAATCCCTCTGAAAATTGCAAAGCTGGTGGGAAGCCCCTTCTCTCGAGATGGCACCTAGGCGCAGATGCTCAGAGCGCACATGACCACAACAAAATCCCCGACATGTGCCAAGCACTGGCGAACGTGGAAAGCATGCAGCTGCCGTGGAACAACAGGAACACAACGTCCGAACCCTTCCATCGACCGGTCATCCGATACCCTCGACTGGTCAGTCGATGCAGCCCTCCGCTCATGGCGATACCACGAGCGGGTGCGGATTTATGACAATGCTGACAATGCAAAGATGGCCCCAGCCTCGTGTTCCGGCAAAGCGAAATCCTTTGAGCTTGCAGGTGACTCTCGGTCTCTGTCCAGTGTGAGAGCGCCAGGCCATAGCTTCGATCTCGTGAAGGTTCTCAAGAGCTCGTTCCTTCTCCTTGCAAGAGTCACCGCTACGCCGCATACGCCGTTACGTGGCAAGCCCTTCGCAAAGCTAAAGCTCCTTCTTCTCATGATCCCACAACGGAGAGCCTGCAATGTCGCGCAGACGTGTTACTGATGCTTGGGTCGGAGCAACAGCATGCTCCCTCTGTGATTCTTGGAAGCGAGCCTGGTGGCGAGGGCCTGATGACTGGCGACTTGGGCGGCTCGTACTTCTTCCTGGACTCCAGTCTGAGCATCACAGAACTCTGGCATGTATCTATCCGTGGAGTTTAGCCTCACGGTAGCGGCGGGCCAGGAAGATGCGAGTTCGTGACTGGCCGTGTGCGGAATGCCAGAATGCTCACAGCTAAGAACCCTCGAGCGCTGGAGTCTTGACCCGCCTGTCGCCGGCAAAAGATCCCGGCTCGAACTCGGCAGTGGAAGTGCAATTGTGCAGAGAGGCTGAAAGCCCACACAAGTGTAGCGACATGTCTCACAACAGCTGTGTGCTTGACCATGCCCGCACGTGCAACCAAAATCTCCGACTTGATGCATGCATCCTGTCGAAGGCACTGCGAATGTCAGGAGTACACGTCAGCCCACGGCAAGGCGGAGCAAGTAAAACATCGAGGAGCGGCCAATGAGCATTTTTCTGCTCACGTGCCGGCCATTTCCACTTCGTGAAACGATCTATCATCATCTTGACAGCGCAGCCATAGGTAATTGCCGCACCCCAGTCACACACTACTGCTTGCAGCGCAGTGTCTTCGACAACAGTTCCGTTCTCTCCAACCTGGCACTCCTTTCCTCTGTGCGCATCTGCAGGCTGCTCTCGTGATCCGACAGACGCAGTTGACGAAGTCCAACATGGCCTCGTACAGTGCAGGCTCCAGCACCGAATGACTCTGAACAATGATCGTTGCAACATGCTGCCTTCGAGACGTCGACCGACAGAGTATCCCTTCTGCTTGTCCGTGTCGTCATCGAAGATGCGAGACCCATTTACAACTCTCTGTCCTCGGGATTCATCTGGAAGGCTCCTCGGTGCACGTCCGGGGGCGACGCTTTAGACCGACCTTCGACATGTTCCTTCCAAGATGCTTTGAGTGAAGGCGTGTCTCCTTGCTCGTTGAAGTTCCACCTCTTGCATGCCTCAGACTACAGTCAGGATGGAATTTGAACTCTGGCAGGCATCAGAACCCATGCGTTTGCTCGACCGTGTCAAACAAGCGGCAAGTGCAAGTTGGGTTACTCGGCTACTATTCGACTTCGAGGTCGACGTGCAGCATCTTAAGAACAGCAGAGACCTGCTCGGCTCTTCCAAAGATCTCTGTTCCTTTATGTTCCTTTCGTATGCTAGAACGGAATGTGTCATGCAGATCGACGCAACGAGACAAGAGTGGATGCAGGGTGCTGTTGCCGGTGAGGCGGCAGTGGGGCTTGTTCGCATGACCCCCTTCCGTTCTTCCCCGTCTTTGTCGAGAGGCTTTCCCTCCCTGTTACCAAATGGCCGTTTTTCTCCTTGTGCCTATGAAGAAGTGCATCAGGCTGCATCGTAGGCCCCTGCTGTAGACCCTGACCCAGCCCTGCTTATAGCCTGTGGGCTCACCTAGCCTGCTGCCAACGATCTCGGTCACATCTTTCATAGTGAAATAACGAAGCACAAGCGTTCCGACGGCTCTTTCGGCTGAAAGGCAAACGAAGCGATCTCCGAATGCAACCGCATGGGCGTGCTATGCTGAGCCGCGGAAGTCAACGTCAAGCACGGTCTTGACGCCTGCTTGTCATACAAAACCATGCCAAGAACTCATAAAGTCAAGGGTAACATCGCTGCCTGACCGGCCGCTGAAATTCCAGCTGCGAGTTACCTGCGCCAAGCAAGGAACATAGTTGCAGCGTATTTCCTTCTTGCCTTCCAGTACCGCAATTGTTGGACGCACCAGCGCACTCAGTTTTGGAAAGTTGCCTTCCGTCGAGCTGCGAGACGTCGCTGCCGCGCTGCAGCTTCGTCCTGCGGATTTTAACGTGCTGCCGAAAGCTGAGCAAGCTGCCACGCTTTTTCTGTGCAAGTGTCCTCGATTGGCTCATTGGCCTTGTGGCTCTTGTCAGCCCTGTCCTTCAAGCCTCAGTCGATGGCGGGGCACTCTCAGGCAGACGGGCGCAGGGTGCCGCAGGGTCTGTTGTGGCGTGCAGCTGAGCGTCCTTCGCCAGCATCGCAGGGAGGCGATGCTTCCGGAAGGTGCCGCCCTGTGCCTGCCGAGTGGAAAGCCAGCCGATGAGGCAGTTACAGTTAGAGCATCGACCGCTGTCTGTGAAGGTATGTCTGCTGTATCTGCAGTGAAAGAGCAGCTGCATTTCTGCAGTCGAAGCTCTACATACTCAAGAACCATACCGGGACTCGTGCCATCACTGACTGACCGAATCCCTTGACACCTAACGTAAGAATGCATAGTGCTCGATGATGGTCGGCAAACGACATCTGCGCGGTCTTGTGAAATTGCTGGCTTGGAGATGACTTTCAAACCGTTGCTGTAGACAAGAGCCACCGCTAAACTAGCAATGCACACGCGCCGGCTCAGCGGCACTGCAAGTCCTGTCAGACCTTTAAGAACTTGGGCTGCCATCTGTTAAGCGATGCAGGTTGCCAGGCGGACCTCGGAGCAGTGCCTCTTGCACATTGCTGGTTGCCGGACGCTTTGCGCCTGTATGGAAGGCCATGACCTCGTCTGCAGATTCAACTGCTAGACTTTCAGACTTGCCGTTGATTCACCGTAAAGTTCCCCTACAGCGACACCCAAGCAACATATTATCGCCCGGCTGCACACAGCAACTCGGCCCTGGCATTCTCGATACGCTCTCGAGCACAGGCTGCCAGGCTTGCCAGGCCGAAGTTGGCCACGACCTGACGATGAAGATCCCACCACTTTAAATCATGAGGGTAAGCAGCTCTGTTGTGTAGATTATCAGAGTACTGTCGCATTCTCTAGGATACAAAAAGCCATGTAGCATAACCCTTCCTGCAGTCTTCCGCGAGTAAGCCTGTTTCGCAGTGGATGAAGCCCATTCGGCGCGCCCTTCCACACAGCCGTTCGCCCACAAACCAAAACCTCCATTTTTGTTGCACATCTGGCTCGACCGCAAAGAGAGCCTAAAATGCCTAAATTCTGATTATATGTCCGGTTCACCCGGTAGCTGACGCCTGCCTGGCGGACCTTCTGCATGCCTCCGTGCTCCCCAAGTCCCAAAGAGTTTTCTGCGAAGGTGGCAGCTATGAAAAGAGTTTGTGCCAAAAACTTCTCTCAGAGAGATAGAAGACAGTAATTTGACTATTACGGTCTGGCCTCGTGCCCAATTGTCATAGCAGCACATCGAAACTTCAACCTAAGCATGAGCAAAACATCATATCGAATCTGGCAGAAAAGCTCGTCAATGTCTCGCTAATGCCACACCCATCAAAACAGAAGTGATAACGGAAGCGCTAAGCAGCATCCACTTGCGAAGGTCGCTACGCAGCTCTCCTTGGCGCTCCGGGTGACAAGTCTCGAAACACTGCCTGTCCATAGTTGCAATCTGATGATGCCAACCCGAGCCGGGTTTCGCAGTTGTCGTTGTGCGGCTATGCGCGGCTTTCAACTACCACTGCTGCTTCTGTAGTGACTAAAGTATCACGGCCGCATGCCGTGCCAAGTTCGATCAATGTAACAACAGAACTACAGCACAACTAGAGTTGGATAGCCTCAGGATGAACACATTCAGTGCTCGTTTATCGCGTGACGGACAGAAAGCCCTCTCAACATCGCCTGAACGATTCAGCATTCTCTACAAGGCTCGTATGTGCGTCTCGGTCAGCATGGGCAACAGGTAACGCTCTTGCAGCATAGCATCTGCGACGGCCAGGCAAGCCCGAATCTCATGCCGCAAGCACTGCGCAAGCCCCCAGGGTTGCACAAATCACGACACCACGCACCTTCGAATTCGATCTCAGGTGCTTCGGTCGCTCGGAGGCCATCTCGCAAAAGGAGGCGTCCGACAGTCCCAGGGCCAGCGATAAAAGAGTGGATCAGACACCATTCCAGCGTGGCTCGCCTAGAAGGCTGTCACGTTGTAATGCATGTCGCAACATTACGTTGCAACCCTTTTGGTGGCATCTGGCCTCGAAGGCTGCCGCTTGAGAAGCGCACTGACCAAAGACTGTGCGCTGCCGCTGGGGACTGGGATGTCGTCACTGACCCAGAAGGAGATGTTGCATGATCGAATAGCCTGGCAAAGCACCGCAAGGTGCTGCAATGAGGCTGCGGCCTCCCCATGCCTCACCGTGCCTTGCCTGCTGCAGCTCCACGCCTGTACCCGAGAAGGGGCAGTGCCCTGTGAGCAGCTCGAAAAGGATCCTTGCATGACGCCGTATGAGATGTTACCAAAAGATTTGCTTGAGATGGTGTTCCCTTCCGAGGCAAGAGGCACACCGAGGGACCAGAGATCAGCCGCTCGGGCATCCGCTTGAGCCGCCTGTCATAGAGCACTCCATCTTAGACTCCAGTCGTAAGTCGGAGCTGCAGAGAGGCCTCGCTTGCGAAGAGCTCCGGCGCCATGTAGAGCGGAGTGCCAGCAATGTCGGAGACAAGGACATCATCCACCACTTTCGAATGGCCAAAATCTGCAAGCTTGACCTGTGCACGTGCGCCTAAAGCTTGAGCCTCTGCAGTTTGGGCGTCGAGGCCTGTAGCTGCTCGGAGTCAGACAGTAGGATGTTGGCAGGCTTCAAATCGCCATGCGCAAATCCCCTGCAGATCTCCGAGCACTCGATCGAAACCTACAGATTCCTAAAGTTCTGAAGATCTCTGAGCTTTATCGAAGATGATGTGGCAGGCTTCGAAGCTTTACACAGTAACCAAGACGACCATTCGGGCCTGGTATGCATGTGCTGCAAGCCTTCTGCAATCTGCCGAAACACGTGTGAAGCCTTGCCGGGTTGACGCACACAACCCAAACATGCAGAGAGACACTCCTATGAGGCCTGTGACTCCTTGAGAGGTCCACGAGCAACCACTTGGTCCAAGCTCCCGCCACTAAGGTGTTCCAGGACAAGGCACAATTCCTTTCAAAGTGTACGCTGCATCGCTGATTGAATGTGAGCTCCGGATTCCAAGTGCGGACTGACTGGTCCTGCTCCGTCTCAACCACGTCCAAAATTCCTGTCCAGGCGAGCAAAGTCCCAACTCTCCGGTGATCTTGACTGGGCGGCTATTCATACAATTAGACACCGGACACTAGACCAGTCTCCAAGCCAGCTACAATTGCACTTGGCAGTTTTTGTGTTCTCTTTTTGCAGTAGCTTGAAGCAGGAAACGGTGGGTGAACGGCCTGGACACACCCTTATTATGCTCTACAACCGCTCCGTTTTGGCCGGAGCATGCTTCCAAAATTCCGTCCGGCCAAAGGGGTGATTTGACCGCGAAGTCCTCAAAAAGTAAGCCCTGATTGCAAGAACGACGGCAGTAGCAAACAGAACGTAAGTCAGTCCAGGCCCCCATATTTGTTCGCTTGCTGTGGCTTGCCCCTACAGCCATAAGAATCGAGCACTGGTGCGTACCTCGCGATTATAGAAGCAGCAGGATCAAGCTCGAGACAAGGAATGTACAAGTCGCCTACTTTCCAACTGTATTCCGGGAGCTCTTTAAACGAAAGTATCGAGAGGTCCGCAAACAACCAATGGGTAGAAGCCGAATCCATGGAGAGACAAGAAAAAACAAAACGCCCATTAACTCCGAGGGAGGCCCTGAAAAGATTGTTATGTTACTAGTAAGAATCTCTCGATACTTCGTGATGGTCGCAAGCCGAAAGTATCTAGAGGTCCCTTAACAAAGAGCAAACCTTTCAGAGCCTCCCTAGAAACGTAGTTAAAGAGTTGGAAGACCGGTCCTGCTGCTTCTTCATACCACTCGTGCCCACCCGCCCGCCCGACCGCCCGTTCTCCCACCCACCCACCCACCAACCCACCCACCCACCCACCCACCCACCCACCCACCCACCCACTCACCCACCCACCCACCCACCCACCCACCCACCCACCCACAAGTCTACCTTCCTCTCTTGCAGCTCCCTCTCTTCAATGAATGTTGGAGACTAAGAGGCATTCTGCCGCGCCTACAATCTTAGCGTGCTGGAGGGATAAGTGGATGGCCTTGGCTGCGACTGTTTCATTCATTGTGCGGCGCTCCTACTGATACCGCAGATGCATATCAAGACCATGGAGCAATCTCTTGGTGGAGCCGCTCTTCGATTAGCCTGAAATTGCCTTGTCGCCGCAATCTGGACAAGCCAATCCTCGTGTCCATGCGCGACCCAAATCCGAATCAAGAAAGCAGTTACATGACATGTCTTGTTGATTGAGGCTTCAGCATCTGGATTCTGCTCAAGCACACACCCGTCTTTGTGTTGCAAGTTCTGAGGCTTTGCATGGCCTTGTGCGCTTTACTTGCTGCAGCTTGTGAATTGTGGGATGTGCTAAAAACTGCTTCGTTTGTCAACTGCTGGTGGGCAGAGGCGAGAGTCAAAGAAAGGCTGTAAGGAACCACAATGTCAAAGTCTATTCCTTGCAGCTCCCACTGAATCCTACAACTGAAACCAGCGCTTGCGCCCGAAAATGTTTCTGCGCCTGTGGATGGCGCTTGGGCACTCTTGGGTCTAGAAGAGTCTTTCATCGTCTGAGCCTTTGTCTCTCTCTGCATTTTTCTGCTGTCAGGAGACCGCTTCACGGCTCTCACGTTGCCGGCGGTGTCCACACACATGTGGACCCTTGACGTGGCACCGGTGCCGATGGCTTCCAACAGTCGATATCGCCTGCTGTCCTGCATCAGGGGATGCAACTCATGCACGGTTTCTGAGCACTTGCTAGTTTCAGCTTTTTCGTCGGGGCATTTCCTGATCGGTTCTAATGCTCTAATCAAGAGAACATGAGATTTGATCATGTCCTATGCTGCAGGACTCTAGGGCGACAGGCTTCGATAGGATCCCGGCTTGGCGTCGTGCAGCAACAGCAGCAATACATCGTTCTTGAAATTTTCTGCTGCAAGCGCTGGCCACATGTGTTGCCTGGTGACTGTCACGTCGCAGTTGGATCAAGGCACAGACAGAGGATCACAGGATGAGGACGACGAAGAACGACGCGTCATTTGCCATATGCGCTGATCAGGTTTCAAAGGATGCCTTCACATCGTTCCTGTTTTCAGATTAGTTTCACCGGGGCCAAGTGCTGGCTGGACTGTCACCAGTCAACTGGTGTGCAGCGACGCCTGGTCGCTACCAAGACCGTGTTTCCATGACATCACTTCTCGCTACGGGGTCGCTGCTGATCGGTGCTGTATGCTGCGTGCTGCAGCCACGGTGCTCCCAGTGTCTAGCACAACCTCGGCCTGGACGTACTTTGGGGGCTTGAACCATGGGGGGTTCGCAGATGCAGCTTGACTCCGGACCCGCATATTGGTGTGCAGCCCCTTTGAAGGCATGGAGCACGGATGGGCACGGGCAGACCCTGCTCGGTCGAGCTGCTCCATCCACCATTTTGTTAGGATGGGCCGATGGGCTTGGCTGTAACGGCTGGTGTTCTCCCTCTCTTTCTCTGTCTCTCTCGTTTAATTTTATCACGGGTGTTTAGTTTAGCGATCCGTGCTCCTCCTCAGGCCCAAAAGTGGTGAATTGTTGACGCGATGAAGGCGAAGTTGCTGCGACTGAGGCCTCAGCAGGCCCCCCAAACAAAGACATCCCAATGCAAGAGTGTCACTGTGAGTCACTGTGTCAAAATCACACGATCGTTACGGCAGAGTCGCGCCGGTCGCCGCCTTGGCGAGGCGGTGGCGCTCCAAGGGTCGCAGGGGAAGAACCTCTGCCAGCTCGTGCCAAACAGGGAAGACCTGCAAAGGCGCGCCATCCAGTGCGAGAGAAGGAATCTTCATGTCAGAGTGGGATGTGTTACCTTGTGCTCGGTCTCACAGGGGACATGCCGCCGCCTACGTGCAGCATGCTCCCGCTAGTCTATCTCCTGGAGACATTCAGATCGTTCTGCTTTATGATTCTTTCGCGCTGCTTAGAAACTCTAGACCGTGCATCCTCTGTGCAAGCCATTGCAAAGTCTCAGGCTCGTGCTGGGGTGAATACAAACAAGCGCGGGACAAGGGTTCTTGATGCACGACCAAAACGGAGCATGGGCACACTGCCCTTGCTGTCAGTGAAGAAGTGGCAGGCCCGAGCAAGAGGCGACTAAGACAGCAGCCGGAATGTTTGGGATCTACAACACGAGCAGCCTAAATGCAATACACATGCATGCCCAACACACTGTCGCACCATTCCAAGATGTGTCCACATGCACCGTTGGTGGACCTTGTCGGAGGCACGCCCAGCTTCAGTTCGCTACTACACCACGTATCTTGATACTAAGTTGGAACTCCACCCCCTGCTGAAGCCCACACCTGCTCCAGGTTGCTGTGGCCTTGCCTTCCGAGTTTCATGCGACATGGCAGGCGCAACAACTTCACCTGGGCTTGCCTCTGACACCAGTCACTGGCAAGAGCTTCACAATGCTCCAGTTTGAGTGATGCCAGCCATGCTGCGAGCCCAGGGACAGCCTCCTTTCAGGGAACACTTGCAAAGCTTACAGAAGACTTTTTGCGGATGTGGGCCTGAGTCGCCAGAACGCAGTGGAGCAAAGCGGCTCCAGCTTCTGCTTTCGCCTGAAATTTTCGATTCTGTCGAATGTGACGGCGTTGCCACCACAGCCTACACCCGCCTGGTCGTCCGGAGACCAATTCCCCGACATCGGACGAGCATTCCATCTGTCAGAAACCTCGCGCCTCCAGACACTTGCCTGCTCACCCCCGCCAGTAAGCCAGAACGGCTCTTGGCACTACGGGTAGCATCTCTTTTTCCATATGCGCTCTGAAAACAAAACGTGCCGGAAAGGCAAAGCAAACACGTGCACCTGCCTCTGCTGGTCCTCCACGGTATCCCTGTGCCATTCTCTCGCCTCATGGACATGTCAGCCAGAAAAACATGCTTTTCCATCACAGTCTAAGCCATGCTGCACCTTGTCTCAGTCAGCACATGGGACAGGAAACGGGCGAGAAAACAGGTCCGGCAGAATGTGTCAGTGTTTGAGCTACGTTTGTTACTACACTACTACACTTCTATAGAACATATAGAACATATGACTTTCTCGGTGCGTGTTTTGGTCGTCACTGTTGAGCCAATGGAGAAGCCACAACCCACCCACGACGACTACATTCCAATAACTCCACCAGAGATGAGATCGCCAACATCAATCCATTGCAAGTATTCCCGAAAGAAACCCAGTCGTGCCCCTTTTTGTTTTCGACGAATTGCCTCAAAGGTGGATTCAAAAGCGTTCGCATATGTTCGGCCATGCTCCTCATGGTCGATGGGGCTCACATCAAAGAGGCTGAGCAATGAGGAATCCAAAGCTCCCGTTCCGCTGTGTGGACCCTGTCGCTCAGGAGCAGCAACTGAACTGCATAAGCACACCAAATCTCTAACGTTATCTAAGTTCAAGAGCCATGGTCTATGGCTTGTTTGGGAAAGGGAATCGCGTAGGTACAACATGGGTGTCGGAACGGGGGCGGTGCAAGGGTACGGTGGGGGCGGTGCAGCGGTACGGTGGTACGGTGCTGGTGGTGTGGTGGTGCGGTGTATGTACCCCATGCACTGTACCACCGTACCACATTCCCCCTCGTACCGTACCACCTTCCCCCCCGTGCCGTACCACCGTACCCCCGGAGCGTACTCCCCTACCGTACCCCTATCAGCCCTATCAACATGGACCCCCAGAGTATGACTGTTGAATTTAGATAACTCTAAAGTGTACTCTTCTTCCGGATATCTCGTGACCCGCTAGGCAATTCATTGTGAGAGGCTGCTGGATTATGCGATCGTTGACTGGTGAAACGATGCGAAAGCCCAGGTGCCGGTGAACCATGACGTGAGCTGCCTTGCGATCCTGAGCTCGACCGTACATGGGAGCACGACACGGGGGCCTGCCCTGGGAAACACTTTGGGAAGGCATGTGCACGTTCGAGTCACGCGCAGAGCCAGCCGCGAGGCTACCTCCGACGTTTGACTCTCAAGCAATGATAGCCATCCTGGTTTAACGGCTCGCTTTCGCCAGCATGCGGCTCCGAGGCGAAGCGAGAGGGCTCAGAAAGCTCGAATTCCGCGTTCTACACGTGCTACATGCCTGTAGCATCAGAAAATTCAGAAACAGGCAGCACGAGCTCGAGGCAAAAAGGCCAAGATACATTACCTCGGATCTCCGTTGCCAAACCACCCGGCCCCCAGGCCGCTGCTCGCCAGGAAAAGCTTGGATTGCCATGTTTTGGGCGTCACCGAGACACACCTTCAGACCCACCTCATGCATACTCTCTTTCTCACGCCTTTTCCACCTATCACTGTTTTTGGAACCCTAGTGCGGATGATCGTCATTACTGTGACATTGGACTTTAGATTCGCGAAGCCCTCTGCTGGGTTGCCAAGCAAGTCGCCTGGCCAAGCAACCTCCAACCCGTGTCACCGTCACTGGTTACACAACCGCTTACTTGTGGGTGCAATTGTGGCATGCCGACTGTAACTGATCTGTTTTTGCCTACGTCCTGTGCGGGCCCTCCGGTAGGGGCTAATGCTGAACTTACGCTCTTCAATCGGCTGTTCGGCTTTGTTGTTTACTGGAGTTTAACTCATTGCCACACTGTTGTTCAAGAGGCTTGTCATCAACCAGCAGCGTATCTGTGCATACAGCAGAAATGTATGCTGGCTATTTCTGTCTCTTCGTGCGCATGAACCTGCCTTTTTGCCCTGCTCTGTCGCAAAACTCTGAATGGCATCCTTTTGAGACTTTTTCATGTTGCCAGTCTTGTAAGGTATTCTGGTATTTGCGCAAACATTGCGACCTGGTGTCTGTTGGTTATTCATTCAACCGCTTCTAAAGCACCCAAATGACACATTCAGTACTTTGACCCTTCCACACAGCCGAATGGCGCTACAACTGTCAGCAGTTGTCTCAGGTGACATGTCAGTTTGTTTCAGCATTCGCAGTCGCCTCTCCCCCATTCGACCATATTCACAATGATACACGCGAGGAACATGCAAACCGATTGTCGTTCGTGAGTCACGCGCGACATGATCCGCATGCACCCACTGAAGGAGACGTTGCGCATGGGAGCACAGGGGGTCAAGATGCTGTTACTAGTACCTGTTGCTGTTCCATGGGCAACGTATGACCTAAATTGACCTATCTGAATCTATCTGAAGCTGAGCATTAAGACCACGATCCTGTGACACTACAGGATTCGAAATAAAGTCGAGTTCCGAACGAACAACAAACGAAACTCATCATTGGCACCCATTTAATATAATCACACGACCTAATCACACGCACACTTTCCGGAACATCCTCCCGAAAACATCACCGCGTCTAAGACCTGCTTTGGATTAGAGGGGTTCAACAGCAGCACTTGGACAAGGACTCTGCCGACTTATTTTGCGTGATGCAGCTGGCAGTAGGCTCATGCTCGCTAATGTCGCGGTTGAAGACGCAGTGGATGAAAAGCATGATGTCACTTGGCACTCACCAAGAGCTGCACGAGGCACGGCCAAGATCTGCGAGCGATCTTGGGATTCAAGCGTTCGTGAGATTTGGCCTTTTCGGTGACTCAGGGCAGCACCCTCGGGTCTCAAGGGTGGCCACCAATATCCGGTCTCGGAATCACAGTGAGTTGATGCGTCGAAGAAGGTGGAAAGGTGTCTCACGCCGCCCTTCCACGATCAATGGCAAGTAAGGGAGCACGGCAGATACAGTTGCAGCGTGTTCTGGTCTTAGGCGGTGTTCCCGAAGCCACTGTAGGGTGTGTTGCCTTGACAAGCTTCATCGGAGAATGGACGTAGAACCCACGGTTAAACCCTGAATGATCAGGTCTTGTGTCGCTACCAGCTGCTGCAAGGCCTCACTGGCGCGTTTCTCTTCCTCCAGCTGCTGCTGCAGTTCGTGTTCCCGCAGATCTTGTAGAGCAGTTGTCAAGCCGGTGGATGCTTCCCGTTCACTGTCTCGCAGCTCCACCTCGTCCTTGCGACGGAGCTCATCTAAGGCTCGCAGTTCAACGCGAAGCCCATCCAACTGTGCCTGCAGCTCGGCTTCGAAACCTTCGAAGCTCTCCGAAAGTCCCGCCAACAAATCATGAAATCGATCGTCTCTTGCCTTGGCAATGGTCGTGAGGCTTATCGCGTGCTGCTCCTCTGCTATCTTATCCTGGAGCTGTGTCTGTTCAAAGGCCCTCAGTTTTGATGCAGAGAGTCTCAGAAATTCATTGCGACGGAGAAGCAAGCGCTTCGACGTCACAGTGGCCTCTTGTAAACCCTCCGACCACTGTCGCTCAGTCACCAGCGTCTCCCAGTTTGCAAGGCTCTTCGACTCCGCTTCATGACTGCACGTGCCAAGGCATCCGTAAACATGCCAATCGGGATCGGAACGCAGGATCGCAGTGCCAGAAATGCCAGCGATGCCGCCGTTTGGAGGGAGTGGAAGCGGGAGCAGCCCATCTGTGGCCTCTCCAGCCACTGCCCGGAGGCTTGGGAGCAGCAAAGAAAGGCTCAAAGAGGGGGCCGGTGTGAGCCGAATCCGCACATCCCGAATGACAAGCTCGACGTAAAACCGCGGCAGATTCGTGCTCTCGCTCACAGGAGGGCTGCTCGTTGTGTTGGGGAAAACATGCCCTGCGGCATCACGGGCCTGATTTACAGCGACCACGAGATTCTGAAGCCCAGCTAAAACCACAAAAACCAGAGGTTGAGGAAAAAGTTCCACACTTTGAACGCATACGTCTGCATGCAGTTCTGGGCAACAGCTGGGGGCTCGCTTCGTGCAACATAGCCGCAGGTGCAGTGGGCGTGTTTGGATGAGTGGGTGCCTTGCAGAATCGAGTACGACAAGCTGCAGAGAGCACCATGTCAACAAGCAACTTCCACTGCAGCCTGCAACAGCAGCAGTTTCTGCAATTTCGGCGATCTGCATTGTGGAGCCGCCTCGAAGGCGATCCAGGCAGCGCTTCTCCGCCAAAGGCAGGCGCAGGAAGCCTTCAAGAGTGATATTCAAATCCAGAATCTCCAAGAGAGTCTGCGTCTCATTCACGGAAGCCTCTTTGCAACCCATCGGTAACCTGACGGATACTTTCCTGAGAGATACATGCGCTGACAGAACGCGAAGATTCGGCGGTCTCCATTTGCGAGTCAAGGCCAGGTGGCCCAAGGCACCTCCCCCAACTCCACCATCCTCAGCCGCCTCAGCCTCGTCGCCCTCGTGGTCCTGGGTTCCATCCACATCTTCATCATCCTCAAGATCCTCAGCGTCCTCGACATCCTCTCGGCACGTGGAATCAGCTACCATCTGCTCTTGGTCGTCATCCTCATCTTCGGACACTCCAGCTGACAGTGGATCAGACGTAATTTCCACTTCAATTGCTGTGGATTCTGGTGGAAGTGTCGAGGTGGCGATTCCCTCCTCCAACGCAGCAGACGAGGTGCATGCTTCTGTTTGTAAGGAGAGAGCCAGGGCCTGCAGGAAAGCAGCAAAGGAAAATAACGACTTATTAGTCACTGATTTCACCTAATCTACGCTTGTAAGACACAAGCAATGTTCGAGTCAGACACAGCTAGCCGGTACTGTGTATGTTATGTATGTTGACATTTTGTTGACAGACGCCCAGCCTGCTGTAACTCCAGCTCTTCCTGCTCCTCTAAACTCAGAGGGCATGTAGAGCTGGCCTGCTCCGGCCCTGCTGTGCCCTTCAGCGGCTTCGGACCTGTGGCAAATCCGAGCTTTCCCTTGAAGTTGCCACGCACAAGTGTGCCCAAGCTGCCCAGGGCTTTCTTTGAGCTCGATGCAGCTTGCCCCAAGGCCTTTTCAGCTGCCGCCTGAGCCGCCTGGCCACTGCGACGGGCACCACCCAGTGCTTGGGTCGCACTGTGCGTAGCCCTTTGAGCAACCGCTGCCGCACGCTCCGCACCGTGAACAGCCACTGCAGCTGTTCTCCGAGCAGTCTCTGCTGCATCAGCAGCTGTAGCAGCAACCGCACCATGAGCAGCGGCCATTCCTCCGCCGCTCTTCGGCTCTCTGCCCGCACGCTTTTCTCGCCGCTGTGACTTGACTGCCTGCGCCAATATTGCTTCTACATGCTGCCGTGCTGTGGCCCGAAGCAGACCCAGGGGTGGTACGGGTGGCTGAGCGACGTGGCATACCAGAGATGCCAAGTCAGCAAGTTCCGCTTGACCACATTGCGCGTGACAGTCCCGCAAGCTTACATTGGCCCGAACATCGCGTGGCAGCAGCGCCATTCTGGCGGAGCCAGTCTGGCCGTCTCGCCGCCCGACATCCCTGCCCTCGACCACATCCACACCTGGCACGGCAAGCGTCTATGATCGACAAATGATGTGCGATGCCAGGTACTAGCCGAGTCATGATTCACCCTGCATGTGAGCCACAGCAGCCGGATACCGACAGCAGTGCCGAGCTTGCCGAGCCAGTCAGACTGGCAGCAGAAAGTCCAAGATGCTGCAGCTCAAGCCTGTGCAACCCGCAGTGCTGTCTGGTCTCCTGCTTGCAAGAAACCCTTGGGGCCTCCTGTGGAGGGATGTCCAGCTTCTGCTCTTCTGGCGAAACTTGGCTTTCTTGTCTGGGTCCTGGACCGCTGCTGATCACGTGAATGTCCCAAGGCCTCGCCGTCAGAGCCTCTCTCCTGCCTGGCTGTCTCCAGCCGCCACAGGGTTCAGAGTGATCCCGTTCAGCTGCAGCTCAAATGCAAACCTGAATTCGTACAGCGTCGGCGGCAAGCGGACACTAATCACAACCGTGGGAAGAGATCGAAGAAGAGATAGAGAATTTTGGAGGTTTTCGTGGTTGGATCGCTTGTCATTGAGTTCCAATGTACGGGAAGACTGCCCTTGGTGCTAGATGGAGGACCATCTTTCAAAAACCAGAGTTGCTCCCCAAGATTCGGTGCACGAAATGTCAATTGCAACGATGGAAAATTAATTGTGCGCTGCTGGCTTCTGGAGTACGGAATAGGAAAAGAACTCGTCTTTGAAAATGGGCAAGCTTGAACTTGATCGATTGGGGTCTCTATCTCAGCTAGTTGCCTTCAACTAAATTTCAAGCAGTTTCACTTGATGAACTTCCTTAGACTGCTTAGTTCATGTCAAGCTCACCTCACACTCGCCAGATAGTTCGTTGCACTTCAAATGCAACACTGGTTTCCGCTTGTATGGGATTTGTTTTCATGTGTCTTGGCCTCCCTGAGTGGATTGGATTGCAATTATTGACTTCGTACTAGATTCAAACTTCCATCGTTGTCAACTCGCCATAAGCTCTACACTTTGTGGAAAGTCTTGGGACGGGCACTCCAGGGCACTTCAGAGGATGCTAAAATGACCGGGAGGCGAGGCAGAGTCGCGCACCGAAAAAACCTCTCAAGCTTCCCGGCACTGGCGTTCGCGGATGCTGCTTAGTGACAACTTCGACGAAGCGAGGCTGCAAACCAGCTGCAGAGATGCCACAGAAACGTGTAAGCCATCAATCATGGCAACTCTGACATCCTTGGTGGCATCCCCGACAAGATACTCAGCCCCAAACTGTTGGCGTCCATGTATCTACCATTATCTACCACTGCTTGGCACATGCAGACCAGACTCAGATACCCGTAGGCTGCGCTGCTCCTTGCCATGCGACGACTCAGCGACTCACAGAAGTTATGACCAAAAGCCCCGGCCTTGGAAACTGGGGAGCTCTTCGCATTTGCCCGTGTAGCCGCAGCAGCAATCATCTCTACCCAAGCTGCATCAGTTGCGTCATGCACCTTCACCTCTGGGACCGGAGAAGTTGAAACGGATGCAGCCGACTCGGGGCATCTCGGGGCCCAGCCTGGGCACGCACGTGTCCAATTTTCACCTGCAACGGTCGAGAGCGGAGACCGCTCCAGGGCACCGTCACAGAGACCAGGTCACCTCACGCAGCGACTCGCCCCAGAGACGCGCGAATCAAGCAAACAAACGACGGCAATGCGGGCAGGCGGCAAGACACCGCCAGCACCTGACACAGCGACGCACAAAGAGAGGTAGATGGAGAGGGACAGAGAGAGAGAGAGAGAGAGAGAGAGCAAGGCAGTTCGCAGCAAAATGCCACAACTTGCTGCAGTGAAGCGCACCCCAGTCAGTGAGTGAGTAAGGGCGTAAGTGACAGTAAGGCTCACATGGAGACGCCCAAAATTTCTAAGCGTGGGCTTTCCGATTGTCCACCGCTGTCAGTACTTACCGTATGTATGGTATGTGGAAGATCTCGACGAGATCACATTCATACAACACCAACATGGACGTGAGCGTACGCAGCCCCGATGCCTAACACCATTCTTCACAATTTCTGGGAGTTCTCGAAGCTTTTGGCTGAGAACAGCCGCCGTAATATTCCAGGCAGGAAGTCTTTGCTCTGTCGGTGCAACAGTGAACCCCAATCACGCGGAAACGTGCATGGGTGAACCGGCCATGCATGATGTCGGTGGCAGCCCAAACACACAGTTTGCCAAGAGAACAAAAGCTGTTGAAAGCAAGACAGAGCAGAACACAGAAGAAGCGAACTGCCCTCAGCGCTTGTTTTCCATCCGCAAG